AGGAGGTGATCCTGCCCCTCTACTCTGCTCTTGTGAGACCTCACCTGGAGTATTGTGTGCAGTTCTGGTGTCCTCAACATAAAAAGGACATGGAACTGTTGGAACAAGTCCAGAGGAGGGCCTCGAGGATGATCAGGGGACTGGAGCACCTCCCGTATGAAGACAGGCTGAGAAAGTTGGGGCTGTTCAGCCTGGAGAAGGCTGCGTGGAGACCTCATAGCAGCCTTCCAGTATCTGAAGAGGGCCTACAGGGATGCTGGGGAGGGACTCTTCATTAGGGACTGTAGTGATAGGACAAGGGGTAATGGGTTAAAACTTAAACAGGGGAAGTTTAGATTGGATATAAGGAGGAAATTTTTTCCTGTTAGGGTGATGAGGCACTGGAATGGGTTGCCCAGGGAGGTTGTGAATGCTCCATCCCTGGCAGTGTTCAAGACCAGGTTGGACGAGGCCTTGGGTGATATGGTTTAGTGTGAGGTGTCCCTACCCATGTCAGGGGGGTTGGAATTTGATGATCTTAAGGTCCTTTCCAACCCTAACTATTCTATGATTCTATGATTCTATTCTAACACAGGGACAGCTTTAAAAAGGGATCTGTAACTTTAAGGTCTGCAATTTTGGGGAAACCCATTTGTTAAAACAGCTGTTTTCCTTGCTAAAGACTGCAAAATGTGAACCACTAGCTTGAGGCCACTCTCAGCCAAACTTCTCCTCAGTTTTCCCTTCTATTAAACAGGCACAGAAATACCCTGCATTGGTTTTTATCTTACAGGCCCTTATTTAGGGGAAAAGAAATTCTGCCAGGAGAATTATTTTGAATCTGTTCATAAGGAAACAGTTTGCAGAATAGAACTCTGAGATTACTGCATGATACATCCTATAGACAGAGATGAGATGCTGGAGAAAACTAAATATGAGATCTTTAATCTCAAGATGTGTTTACACAAAAGTGTCCTATTTCAAAACCACCTCTAAATTATTTCAAGCAAGAGAGAACATTCACTCCCCAAAGTGTTAAATTATGCACAGAAATTACAACTCAATTCCAGTAAAATGTACTTTCTGATGCTAGATTTATTTTTCCCTCCTCATTAATTGCATGTGCTGAAATGACCACAAAGTCCACAACCTGAGGCTGTTTTACTGAACGCTGCAGAGGTCATTTAAGAAAGCAGCATAATGGATAAGAGCAAAGCAGGTCTCATAACACACCACAAGGCCTGGACGACACACCTTCTGTACACCCTGGGTTTCTTTCCAGAGTATGACATTTTATGAAGGAGCAATTTTAGTCCACAGACTAATAATACAAGACATGTTGCCCAGGTTGGAAACATGGGAGGAGCCGCTCAGAAGAATGTGGCTCTCAACATACTAGATTAATAATTAACAAGACTGACAGAAGGACAGAAAAAAGAAGAGGAGAAAAGAACGACCATATTGAGAGCCACATTTAGGGCTATCTCCAGAAGGCCAAAATCCATTCTCACAATGCCTCTTTGGTGTATACTTCATTCAGATAAAAGCCACCCACCCTGTTTGGGTTTCTAGCATTAAGAGAAAAAGGCAAACACCTTCCACAACTCCACTGGGCTTGTTTCCTGCGGGATCCTGCTCAGCGTACCCTTACTCCTGACACTGTCAGGCTGATGGCAAGCTCAACTCCACAACTCAAAGTCCAGTTTTTGTACTCTTACTCCTTTTCACATGCTTGTATGCCCTCAGACCCACTACTGATAGACATGACTCAAGTTGGTATAAGGACCCGAAGACTAGCGCAACTTACAGACAGAAAAATTCAACAAAAAGTACATTAATGTTGTCTGAGTGCTACTCTAAAAAAGGCTTCAATACTGCTTTTTGTAAGGGTATGAGGTATTTTGGATCTAGAGGTGATTTTTTTTTTTTTTTGGCTGTGAACTTATGTCATCTTCTGAATCTGGCTGCGCCGATAAAATCTGTTACCACCCCGAGCCCCTCTGCTGGATGTTGGCTCGTTCAACTGCCTCTGGAGCAGTTCCAGTGAGCACTCCTCCTTTCACTTTAGATGAGCTCAGGCTGACTATTGCAACTATTCAAACCAGCTTGCCTGATTTTTGCCTGAAAAGAATTAGGATGTGCTCCCACAGACCGGCAGCTCGAAGGGAACAGCAGTCTTCAGCCAGGAGACATTTACAAACAGCCAAAAAGCTGTATGTGAAAAATTACATCTTCCTACAGCCTCACTGAAATAACTATATTGGAAAAGCAAATGTGGCAATTCTGGTACAAAAGTCTCAGATACACTGTCCACCTTCATCCTGCACCTAGCTAGTGGCTTGTGGCCTCCAAACCAGAAGTGCATCCCCTTCCCATGTCCTGGCTGCCCTGTCTGGCCTCTTGCACTGCCCCTATTGTTCATCAAAACATGTGGGAAATAATTCAGCTCATTAGTCTAGCAAAGAACCAGTGACTTTTTTCTGTGATTAGCCTTAGTACTTGTAGTCTACTGCTGCATGAGTGAATTCAGCCAGCTCTACCTGCAGACAGATAAGCAACAGAGACTGAATATGTGGGGCAGACCAGTATTACCCTTGTGATTTACCTGGAACCTCATATGGAAGTGCAGGAGCTGTTCACCTCCCTTCTGGTGCCAATAAGCCATTAGAACTGCACAGTCCTCACCACATAGCTACAAACTCCAAAGAGTTGCATTTATTCTGTTTTGATGTAAGAGAATAAATATTAATAGGAAACACCGGTGTAATGATCTAAGACAATAAATATTAATAAGAAACACCAGTGTAACAGTATCCCTGTCACAGGCCCTGTAGTGTTTTAATTCTACTAATGCAATTCAAACCAGACAACTTCCACATTTAGAGAACCCCAAACTTGCGTCTTTGTGAAACATTTGCAGAGAAGCACAACCAGATTTTTCCCTTCATATATATACAGTTATATATTTATATATACACCTATATATAGGTATAGCTACATTGATTAGTATTCAGGATCTGTTAGTAAAAGCCTTTATTGGCCCGAGTCTCGGTGTGGACACAATTATGTGTGCTGTTCCCAAAACTATCAGGGACTTGATACCAGTGGAGCTGCATGCCTGCAGCTCAATCATGACAGCCCCAGGTATCCACTAGGCTATTCAGTTTTCAGGGGTAGTGATTTGAAAAAAAAAACCAACAAAACAACCCACAGTTGTATCAGAGATGACAACTAAAATGAGTTTTTAGTAGAACAGCAGGTAGGCAAATGCACACAGGTGAGTGCTGAGGAGAGGGATTTCAGCATCACTCCCTGATTCAGCTGGTTCACCAGTATGAGTCCCTGCCAGAACACACTAGGGGCCATTAAATTTCAGCACAAGCCTTTCAGAAAGCCAGTTACCCTCACACGTTGCACTATCACAGATGGAGCTTGCTTCCTTCTTCTTTGCCAGCACAGGCCCTGCCTCTCCACCTGATCTTGCCCTACAGAACAAAAGCCTTCTGCTTAGCAGCCATGGGGGAGTTGTGAATGTCAGTGTCTTACTGCCCAGCTCCATCACATTGAAACTGGAGCGTGGAAAAGCCTCCTTCCTTTCCGCCTCCCCTGCTGGTATTTGGTCATTTTAAATTTGAAAGCAGTTCACTTCCTTGTAGATACCAGGTAAAGGGGTATCCTTAACACTACTGACCAACATGACTGCAGATGTTGTTTGCCAGTGATGCTTCACAACCAGTTTAAGTTCACTCTTTTTAGACCTGGTTGTTTTGTGCTTTCATTTATTATGAAATATAACTCAAGAGCATGAAAAAGGTGCAGAATTACTGGCCAAGTCAACTTCATAAGCCATTCGCTATGTGAATTTCCCTATAATCACTTGATCAGACCGCAGAGGGTATTAAACCCTACGGCTTTCAAACTGAATGCAAACATTGCAGTCATTTCTGAAGAGGATGCCAACAAAATTAGAAAAAAAAAAGGAAAAAACCCCAACCAAACAAAACCAGCTCACTTGAAGCACATTCCATCTATGAAATATGTTGCTTCTTCTCTCCCACCAAGGCAGCTTAAGCATTTCAGGAAGCCCTTGTAAAATGCGCTCACCCATCACAATATTTTAGCACACAGGTTCTTCCAGGGCCTGACCCAACTTTTATTAAAATTACTATTCTAGTAAGCCTCTGCACTGACTGAATGAGCATTATCTATAGTTTTAAATGCACAACAGGAGTGAGCAATCTGTTGTCCTTTTGACTGCTTTACTCACTATGTCTCTCCCTTTCCCAGGTCCATTTGGATTTTATTCTGGAAATTACTGCCATGCTGCAATAAAACAGAGGTCAAGCCAATTGTGCATGTACAGCACCATCTCCATAAAATGCTTGCTAGAAGCTAGCAGCAGGTATTTGAGGCTATTCAAAGCCTGCAAGGTCAGCCACCTTGCAACACAGAGGTAGTATCTGGGATCTTCTTAAGGTTTTGGGTTTGTTTTCTTTCTTTTCCTGGTTTGAGGCAGATCCTAATAAAAGCCAGAGGGAAACCTATCAGTCTGCCACTGGTGGGACAAACAGAAAGAACTGGAGTAGTTCCCATACCTTTTCTCTTCTCAATTATGAATTAGCAGAAAGACCAAGCTGACTTACTAACAGTATGTCGTGGAGGTTTCCTTTAAACGGCACTAAGGACATTTGCCATTTTTATTACAGTCAGTGCTCAACAGTACCATGGGAACGAGAGACGAGCGTGGCTACCAACTGGATGAGAGGATTTATAATACACATACACGGAGAAACAAGTCTCCAAGTGAAGGGGGAAATTCTATTGATCAGTAGGACTGCAAGCTGTGTATCAAATGTCGCCTAAGAGGGAAACAAAAGCCCCGAGCGTTACTGGTGGAGACGAGTCACACAGCTGCTGTTCTCGTATCTAAGTTCTGTCAGAAAACTCCTCAGGTCCCAGCTCCTCAGAGCAGACTTGTGTACGAGCAAGATGGGGCTCCATCACCACAGCCGCTCGCTCACCTTAGTCACTTGGTGCAGGAGGGTTACAAACCCCGCCGCTCTGCAAACGCCTCACAGCCCGGACTGCCAGATGCCGCAGCTCTCGGCCAGCCCCCACTGCACGAAAACTCCGATGAAGACACTTTGTTTTTTAACCGGGGCAGAGCGGGGAGCAGCAAAAAGCATTTCCGCACCTCCAAGTTCTTTCTTGCCCAAAGAGGCTGATGTGTAAAGCGAAACCACCTCCGCCTGGCCAACCGGGCCGCTTCTGACTGAAACTACCCTGTAAGGAGCCCTGAAATTGTAACCGCGGGTCCGTACATACTGAGAGGACACCTCTCCACCCTCAGCACCGTGAAAACGAGGGGCCCTTCCCGGCGCAAGGCGAGCGGGCACCCGCGCGTCAGCCCCCCCATCGGAGGGGCCCTGCCGCTCCCGCTCCGCCCGCCCGCCCTCCCTCCCTCCCTCAGGCTGAGCCGCCGGCTCGGGCTCCCGCTCCCCTTCCCCCCTCAGCTCGGCCGCACGTGCCCGCCCTCCCTCCCCGCCACCGCCCAGCACGGCGCGGAGACTCCCAGGGGCTCTTTAAATAGCGTCTATAAATACGACAGCGGGTCGCGCCTCCCCATTGGCTGAGCTGCACGCCGCAGGGCGGGGCCTTCGGGTCACGTGGCGGCGGGGCGGGTCGGGTTGGGTTGTGCAAGCGCGCTGTGACCCAGTTCTCGCTGGTGTGGTGGTGCCCCCGGCTGAGGTGGTAGTGGTGGCGGCGGGGGGGAACACCCGGAACCGGACTCTTCCTCTCGCCGTAGGAAGGGCCCTTGCAGGCAGAGTTGCCGTTCGGTGCGGTCCTTTGTTCTGCATTGCATTCCATTGCATTGCATTGGAGTGCCAGGCGCTCAAAACACTGGCTCGCTCAAGGGGCTTCAAGTTGGGTACAATAGAAGGCCTGAAGCCATCCCTCCTGCCTTGTAGGGGGTTCAGGTCCTGGCCAGAAGCAGCACATTGCAGGCTCCTGCTGGTGTACTTCTAGAATCAGGTGGGTTGGGAAAGGCAAATACGGGCCTTGAAAGTGTAGACATCAGCAGTAGTCATAGCAGGGTCAATAGATGACATGGCAAACCGTGGTCAGGCGCTGGGAGGTGGATGGGGAGGCTGAAGGGAGCCAGGAGCTGCAGCATGCTTGAGGCTGGAGCAGCGGCCATGTGGGAGATGGAAGCCTGGAGCAGAAATGCAGGATGCCTTGAGCACCTGCTCCCTGCAGCACTGCACTGTGTGCAGTCAAGTGGTACATATTGAGTGGATGTGCCCAATAATTCCTGAGAACACGGTTCTGCTTTGGAATAGTTGACAGGCAAAGAAACCCAAGATGCTTTGTGGGAGCAAAATTTTGCTGCTTTATAGCCTAAGAGGCTATTCAAATAGCTCCTTTAGGTTTGATAGCATTTCTGTAAGTGAAGTGTTTTATTTCAAAGGAGGCCAAATTAATGCAGACTGCTGTTGACTTCCTGCTGATTCACTATGAAATAAAATAGAAAACGTTGCGATTCCTTGGTGTGAAAATCTGGAATTTTGACCACTCCTGGAACCTACAGTGTTGCCCTGATTCCTTAGCAGAGCACAGACCATCCCTCCTTTGCCATCTGAGGAGGATCCTTTCAGACCCATGGGATGAATCTCCTGTGCCTCACCGTAGCTACGTGGCCTTACCTCAGGCTCAGCTGATCCCAAAGCCCATCCGTGGAAGATACTTGGCCTTACCCGGTCCTGTGATCTGTGGCACATCCTAATTGCCACCATGCTGCAGACTTGGGCAACATCTGCCACAGCTGCTCCCAGGCTCACTGAACCGAGGCAACCCACATAAATAGTGATCCAGGGGTAAGCGGCTTGATTTCCCTAAGCAGAGTCTAAACCTGCAGACTGGCTCTTGAAAGGCAGGAGGCTTGATCAGAAGCCTGAGTATTTCTTAGGAAACAAAATACCTTTTTTTTTCTTTTTTCCTTTTTAGTATGCAACACCTTAGCAATGCAACTTGGAGTTGCCAATATATGGGGATTTATCTCAAGGCTCAGATACTGAGTGTTTTTCCTAGACCTATGACACTGAATCAGATTTATAACAGAATCTAAGCTTCAAATAAAGAAAAGGAAAATGTTTTTGGATCTTGTGCCTGTGCAGGAAGATGGATTGTGGTAGCTATAAATGAGACACAAGGAGGGAGAGAGGCGGCAAACCAAAATGCAAAACAAACTGGAATCTGTTTTATGAACGATAATTCAAGATTCCTGGATTCTTGGTGCTGGCTGTACTGCCATACCAAAGGCCAGCGTTGGGGGTGTGGGTATTGCAGCACTTGTAGGAGTTAAACCGCTCGCACTGAAAACCAAATACTTTCCCACACACTGCGCTTCCCAGTAATTTGACGAGCCGTGCTGACCTAGATCTGCCTGAGGATCTAATATATTTTTGAGTGCAAACATAAATACACTCTCTTTCTGCATTTAATTTTTGAACAGCTCTAATTAAACCTAGCTTTATTTAAACACATCCAGAGCTCCCTTGCTATTTGGTCTTCAATGTGAAGAGTCTTTGCCATTCACGAGAAGAGCTTTGCTGTAAATGAACCTGGGAAGAGTGGCTGCTGCTCCTCTGTCCCTCTCTCTTTTGCTGTTCTTCACTCTTTTGAGGGAAGTGGCTCTCAGAAAACAGATTTCAAGCTGGAAGAAGATTTAATCACGCATCCAGCATCAATCAGGGCAGAGGAGTCCTACTTACGGGACAAATGTAGGCTTGATTTGCATAGGGGATGCTGCATTAGGACCTACTTTTATTATCATTCACAACAACAGTAATATGTTTCACTTTCAGATCACAGAAAGTGAGAAGAGCATAAAAACTGCCCTTGTTCAGTGTTTTGTCTTATTTAATCTGAAAATATGCCCTACCAGATTTCCTGTAACCCTTCTCCAGGAACACATTTAGAGGCATTGCTGGGCTCTGGCTTGGAGTTTTCCTCCAAAGCAAAGGTGCTGCTGCGCAGATCCCATGCAGGCGCTGTTGGGATAAAGGGGGGATGTGTGGCGCAAAGAGGGAGCTGGAGAGGGTGGTCAGGGAGGGTTTCAGCACACTGCTTGATGTGATACTGTGTAACAGCCAAGTGGCTGCCACTGTCCTAACCTGGAAGCACTGTGTTTGCTGCAGCCCAAGTGGTTTGTCTGAGCCTGACAGACTGTCAAAGTGCTTGTATGACTGAGGGTGAGAGAAGGAAATGCAGAGTAAAAAGAAAAAGGAAATGAGAAAAGCTGAGAACCACAGGCCACAGGTTTCAGTTGTCACGTTAACATTGCACCGCTCTGTTACATTTGCATCCAGAAAACAGGAGATAATAGGGGGTTAAACCGTGACAACAACCCAGTGTACAACTGGGTTCTTGTATTAGAAGATAACAAACAGTTAAAATCTGCAGTTCGTACTCCTTCTCCTCTTCCAGTTTCACCATTTTAGTGGGCAAGGAGAAGAGTTCAGACCTTTAATGTTCCTTTCAATATTCTGTATTTGCATCCCCAAGGAATGAGGCTGGCCTCTGCAGGGCTCCTTGCCGTAACCCCCATAACCTCTTGCCCTGCCTGCTTGGCTGATTGCAAAATCACAACACCAGGAGAACATAGTGATGGAGCTAAGGACTGGGTAGGTGCCTGAAAAGCTGCCGGACGCACGAAGACTTCTCTGTGCATGGACCTTCCCCTCCTGCTGCTCCACAAAGGCCTGGGGCAGGCTGGACAGTGCCCCAGTGGGCCCTCAAGTCTTCTTGACTTCCAGGGTGTTTGACATGTGTAACGGTGACAGTGTTGTGTCTAGAGGTGGATTTGAATCTCTGGATCCTAGTGCTCAAACTCATTGCACGTAACTGCCAACGAGTTTTCTACCCCAGCAGTACAAGTCAGTTTTAACGAGCAGGTTAAAAAAGGGGAAGCCACTCTTGCATACCTGTCCTGTTTTCCCTTTGCTTCCTGCTGATGTCAAAGTTTCAAAAGTCAAAGCCTTTTGGAGCAGCCCTACCATAGGACAAGCGCCATGGTACCCATGGAGCAGCTCTACCATAAGATGAGCACCGTGGTACCCGTGGAGCTGCCCTGTCTCACTGGCTGTAACCTACCTAGACCATAGGTCTAATTTCTCTTTCTACCCCAACAACAGTTGGTTTCCGTAATGAAATACTTTTTGCGTGATGGGCACGTTGTGACCAAAGCCTACTTTCATGGTGTAATCATCAAGGCAAGTTTATCACTTTACCTGTGTGTACAGGCATCTCCAGAGATCGCCAGTTTTCCTCCAAAAGGCAAATTTATTTGGAACCTGATCGTGAGAAAACACAAACATTAAGGTAGGAAGATCTTGCTGCAGTAGTAGATTTAAAGAACCAAATGTTAGCATGCTTTTACAGTCATTCATTCCAGTGCAAAGTGGCTATAAAGTACTTCCAAGGCTGACTGCTAATGCTTACACCCATTTTATGCTATAATGAATGACCACACAAGATGCAGCACCATGAAGATTCAGGTCCACGATCTGTAAGTAATCACAAGGTGCAGCCAGCCATGTACTATCAATCCTATATTGCTTTTGGCATTTCTATACTGCTTAATGCTCTTGTGAGTGCCAGGTTATCCTGAACTTCATTATATATAGCTTTGAACATTTCATCAAGTCCTGCTCTTGCTGAAACAATAAATAATCAGTCCTAACCAGGTGCAACTCTGGCAAATTAAAATTGCACTGACATGGAAAATTAGACCCACTAGCAGCTGGACCAGCAGGACTGTGCAGACCAGTCAGGGAAATGCTGAAGCTGGTGGTGGGAAGGATCTAGCTGCTGAAGCAGAAGTGTTTAGTACTATTTTAGGCATATGTGTGTATCCCTCTCAGTCCTTCCTTGCAAGTCCAGAAGGGCGTGGGACTCTGATGGGTTGCGTGTCAGACGTGCCAGGCCCGTACGGGTGTTTTGGGTATTGTAGGATGTATAAAGCAGCCAGTTAGAGGCTAGGCAGGGTAGACGAATGTGCTTAAAATAGCACTACGTGACTACATTTAGGCAAATGAATGTGGCCTTGGCATGTCTGAAACCCTGCCCTGTTATGTCATTTCGATACCTGGCACACAGCAGGGGAGAGACTTGGTCTACTGGGCTATGCAGATTACACAGATGCAGCACACACTTAGGAAAAACTAAAGTCAAGAGTGAATGTTCATGCCTCTAGAGTTAGGTGGAAACTGAAAGGGTGAGGGTTTTTTGGAGGTTTTTAGACTTGAGAGAGTTTTGGTTCCCTCTTGGTCATGCCATAGGTGACTACGAAACGATTTTGCCCACAGCCTGACTCTTCCAGCTATTGTTCTGCCTCAGGCATATACTGCAAATTGGAAAGAGCACACAAGCATGTGCAGTTCACTGCTAACTCCATGGATTGCAAATTGTCTGACTGGATCCTATAAAGAAAGAGAAGCGAGGCCTTGTCAGAGCTGGGGGACCTTGTTGTGTTCCAAGCAAAGAGGCTTCGTCCTGCTGGAAGTGTCTGCCCTAGCCAAGGAGGAAAAAAAATCTTTGTATACAGTCTTTATAAATAAGTAGGTTATACCAAGCTTGTAACTGACTCACACCTTTGTCATCCCAGGGAAGCAGCTTGGCCAGGCTCTGAACTCTGGCTGCCCACTCAGCCTGCAGGTTACATAGAGATGCAGCTCAACTGGAGGTATTAGATTCAGCCACATCACACAACACAACCCTGGTGCAGCAGGGAGGCCATGGCAAGCTCCTCTGTAAATAGCATGGAACTGTAAAATTGCCATCTTTCTGGGCTTTGAGAGATGAGCCTTGCTGTGCACAATGCCCCTGTTGTGTTTCCCATCTGTTCAGGGAGCGAACAGAGAGGAGAGGCAGAGATGGCCAGCGCAGAGGTGAGACCACACAGCCATGTAGCGCAGGAAAGCTCTCCCCAGCCAGCCTGCATAGGCTGGCAGGCAGTTTTCTGGGGGAAGGGACAAGAGTTTAAGCTTCTGTCTCATTTTCAAATGAGCAGAGCATCACTTCAGCCAGCTCCTCTTATTTCCAGTGATGATCTCTACAGCAGTAAACTGAAGAGGGTCAGGGCACGACCTCAAGCAGCAACATGCAGCCCTCCATGCTTTTTATGTTAGCATATTCCCTGCCACAGTTTTGGCCTGTGACACCTGGGGCTCTCCCAGCTGGCAGCCCTGGGGCTGGTCCTGACCGTGGAACTGGTGAGCTCACCCTGTCCTGGGAAAAAAAAAACCTAGGTCAGCCCCGACGACATGAGCTGGGATCTGCATACTCTTGTTTGATCTCAGGGCCAGAGAACAGGCCCTGGCTGATGTGCTCACTACTGCAGATACTGCCAACATGAATGATTTCTTGGACTATTTTGCCAGGGAAGGCATAATGGTACCACATGCCCCATCACGTCTGGTGCCATCCTGAGGTGATCTCAGGGGCTGTCACTCAATCTGCAGAAAGCAGAGCAGCCCTGACCTCTGCTTTGGCAAATGCTTGGTGCAGATGCTTCCACGGACCGTAACTGCACCCTTCGAAAGTCCTTGTTGCACCAAGCTGGTGTGTGAAGTCGATTCTGAAAGCAAGTTAGAGAGCTCCAAATACGCAGATGAGAGAGACAGAGCTTGTGCTGGGCCTGAGGAGCTGCAGTGGGTAAACCTCTCCTGCAGCCCTTCCCTACTGAAGTGCTAATGCAGAGCAGAAAAGGGCTTTCAAGCAGTGCCCCCGTCTGCTTAGCACTGTCAGAGTCCCTGTGGCCCTTTCCAAAACTGCTGAGGAAGCACAGTCTGCCCCAGAAAAAGCCCTCAGAAACTATTGTGAAGTTTAGCTTGATGCATTGCAATGTAAAACTGCAAATTCCAGCTGGCTGACGCTTGCTGCCGGTGGAGGGACGCCTCTGCCCGTGTCCCTGTGGTCCCACTCCAAACAGTGGTTGAGTAACACACCTTACACTGCTGGGGGATCTTCACTGGAGGCCACATATCGAGGGACTAGCAGGTAGCCATCCATTCCTTGGCACTGTACATAGGTTAAGCAGGTCCTGTCCTTTTCTGTATCTCACGCGAAGGCTAGGCTCCACTCTTACCCTGCGTAAGTCTAGTTTGCGGCCTGGAGACTTACACAGACCTTGTATGCCCCTGGCATGAATTGCCATGGGCTGTTCCTCCCCGAGACAGCCACTTGTAAAGGTAGGACCTGTGGCTCCGGCTCATCTGAGCGGTGTTTACTGCCCCCAGCTGCTCGTTGCCAGAGAGCACCCGAATGCAACCCAGCACTATCATTTTGCATCCGCTTGCAACTCGAGCAAGATACCTTTTTCTATCCCATTGCTTTTTCTGCAGCCGCCACGTACCTTTGCTTTATGCCGTTTTGAGGCTTTTGGAAGACAGAGTGTCTGAGATGCAAACACACAACTACCACAGCTTTGAACTAAGTGAAAGATCACAGGATATCTTTGCAAAGAGTTAAATTTGCAGCTGCAGGAAAACAAAAGCAGCAGTCTAACAAGGCTTATTTAGGGCTCAAGAAGCATCCTGGCATTTGAAGTCTGTCGTGTATTTACAGAAGTCTGCCTCTATCAACATCACCACTGCCCATGGAGTCACGGCATGTCAGTACTTATGTTCTACGTTGTCATTTTGTCCCAGTGCAGCCACCGTGGTGGGGACACCCACCCGGGTGGGGATGTCACAAAATCCGTTCTCAAGGCTGGCGAGAAAGAGACAAGGGGTGGGGAGCGAGGGGAAGCCAGGTACGGTGCTCCCATGACATTTGAATAGCAAAGCTTTGGACAGCCACCCAAAGCCAGGTCATTGTCCTCCCAGTACCTAGCTAGTTCCCTAGGCATCTAGTTAAAAATGAGCCCAGCTGCACTCCTGAAGAACTGGCATTAGGTGTGTGTGAAAGGGCAGAGGATGTCTAGAGATTTCCAGGGCACTACAGAAGTATCACCTGCTTTCACTAGAATTCCGATTATTCATAACATGGTAGTGATCATTTTGCATCTCACCCAACAGGTGGTCTATTAACGTTTCTTGGCTGCAGTTGCAGGAATAATACTTCTAGGCTTTACAGGCAGCATTCATCATGGCTGGCAAGGTAATTTATGTGTGTCTTAAATACTTGTAATTAGAGTTCCTCATAGTTCCAGTGAGGAACAAAACAGATTTCAGTAACATGCAGATGAATAATTCAAAGTGCATTCCTCAAAAAAAGCATTTGTTTTTCTCTCTCACTTTGAGTCCCTTGATCTAAAAGCTGGGACCGGTCTCCCCAGGGTTTGCAGGTCACGTAGCTGCCACCAGCCCCCCAGGAAGTTAGGAAGTTCAGAGAAAACCAAAGCATTTAGCTGGGAAAGAAGTTCTGTAATGTCAGCTTCTCTATTCTGGATACGCCGGCTCCCAGCTGCTGCCTCTCCAATAGGTACTCCACCCAGCCCTCAGATAATAATCACAAGCTATTTCACCAGCTCTGTTTCCTTCTACATTTTTTGCTGTTAACTCCATCGGCTGAATTGATAGCATTTAGCTTGAGAGTGCAGTGGTTATTTGGACTTGGGGGTTATTTGGACTTGGGGCTGTGAAAATACTGACCCTTGTCCTGCAAAATGTGCAAGCACACATGAAGCTTCGTTTCAAGGGGGCTGCTTGTAACCATGAAGTTAAATAGGAGTCTTGAAGAGACAGGGCCAAAAATGCATGGGGTGCATCGCCAGGGTGAGATGGTTTGCTAAATAGATGTGGACATTCTCAATGTCACGTTCCTAGGAAAAAATCTCTGTGCTACCTTACCATTCAGACTCCCTCTGGGGGAGGAACGACTCTGCTGTCAAAGGGTCTGATGCTCCTGTTTCCACTCAGACAAAAATTCCACTGACAGTAAGAGCTGATATGGCTAAGTGGAAATTGCAAAACTGGATTCAGATTGGCACGTAGTCGAAAGCCAGAAATCCTCAGTGATAAAACATTTGTCTTTTCAAAGCATGCACCAGTTTCTGAAGCAGATTCTATTTTTTCAGAAGTGTTACTTCCTCCCTCAGCTGCTCATAGTTTCCCCCTTACACAGAATTATTTTAGCAGCTCAAAATACATATCTGCATGTGCAAATTTCAGCAGCACGTTAAAGAGACACCATCCAAAACACTTTAGTCCGTATGAAGTGAAACACATAATGTCTGACATGGAAAGTTTGTATTAGTTTAAGCTTGAATATTTCAATACATCTGTCATGGACACCTAGTAAAGTTCCTTTTGCTGGACTGGTTTTCTCCCTTACTTACTCACATGATGTCGCTTCAGAACATCATCTCTGAGCATCCCGGCATACAACCTACCTCTGAAGGGACCTGTGAAGCTGGAGAAATGCATCCATTTTTCCAAGGGATCAAAAGGTGTTTCAGCCAGCACACAAAGAAAACAGTTTAGGGAGAATAATAGTGCATATAGAGTAGCACAGGCATTTCCCCACCATTTTGAAGGCTTCACTTAAAGTCCAATGGAGATCTTAGTGAACTCTGTCTCTCAGGGTTTTTCTTGAGGTCTCAGTTGCCCAGATAGGGCAGAAGCCCTCAGTGCCCCTGGATAATTACTCTGCCCAGCTGGTGAAGCCTGCCCTGCAGTAGAGACTCTTCCTTTCACAAGCACTAGTGCCCTGTACCTACTGATCCACATTCCCTATTTGGTGATCGCTTTGTCTCTTCTGGTGTTCAGTCCTGAGAAAATGAATTTAGCCTGGGCAGTGGCCATCTGCCCGTCCAAGGGCTCTCAAGCTGCATGGAAAGTCACCCATAGTCAAGAGCTTTCTGTCATGCTACCATGATGAGAGAAAGCTTTTTCCCCCTCATCTCCGAAGACCTTGAGTTCCATGTGGCAGTGAAAGAAGGATAAGAAGGTGAACCAGCCCTCCAAACAGGGTTCTCCTGCTACGAGTGTTCTGAGAGGGGCCCCAGTATCAAGCAGACTTCACAAGTACAGACTTACCTATGGGGCCAAAATCCTCACATCAATACCCAGCAAAGTAACACTTGCTGTGGGTCTGTTTTACCTCTTCAAAAGCATGTGGTTAATTTGGCATAACTAGAAGCAGCATTTCAAGATAGCCTTTATATACAGCATTTAAGCCTACAACTGGTATTTCAGTGGCATAAATGGGTTCCAGGTGTGACAGTTGCCAAGTAGGAGATGAAAAATCTCAGCTGGGTGCAGTCGTTACAGATAGTTGGTGGCTGTAATTTTCAGCAGTGCAAAGATGGGGAAGCTGTCCAAGGCTTCTACCCAGGGCAACAGCACTCTGGTCTATGATGTTCTGCCACCTTTATCAGCAATAGCAGTCATAGGCTGAAACGATACTTGCTGCAGGTTGATGATAGAGGCTGCCATGCAGGGGTGACCAGAGCTAGTTAGAGTTGCCCTTTTTCCTGGCTGAACTGATAGAAGTAGGTCAGATCTCTCTGTCCATCTCTCATTTATGGGGTTACTTAGGTGGGTAGCAGAACATCTTAATCACTTTGCTTAGTTAATTCTGATTTCCTGTAACACTGTGTTCTAGCAGCTCCCTAGAAGACTGGTTTCCAAGTGGGGAAATCTTGATTGCAGTAAAATCAGCAACATTTTGCCATTAATTCCATAGCAGTAAGGATTTGACCAGAGAATATCTGTGGAAGTCAGTGAGTATTGTGGTTCTGTGAAGAGCATGCAACTGGAAAAAAGACTTTGCTCAAGAAACTGTGCATACACAAAAGGAAGCTCAGCTTAAATTGAGAAGTGTAAGCCTGAACAAACTCAGAGCAGCTAATATCTGCCAGTCTGATTTGTAGGCATGGAGCTCCAAGGTGATTGTTGTTTGGACAAGAACCAGAATTTTGGGCTTCATTTATGAGCTATATAATCAATATGGGCTGAGGCCAAAACCCACAGTTTTTATAAGGCTGGGCTATTTCTTGCTTCATATTATTAGGCACAGGAGACAGAGCTGACTTAGATTTACAGAATCTTGGCTCAGACTCAAAAAGCATCAGCATGACTACTGAGAATGAGTGTATTCTCAGCTAAGGCCCCTCCAGGATCCAGGATGTTTCACTGGATTTTAAAAGCCCAGTTCCAGTGCAATTGCAGTATTCATTTCTACAATAGTGTCACTTGTGTATTACGTGGAGCAGTATAAGATTACATTTCTGGTTCATAGCCTTTTCCCTTTATTCAGCCTTAAAGCACTTTGCAGCACAGACAAATCCTGGAACTGCTGCCCCCTTTGCAGCCGTGCTGCTGCTTCTGCATTCAGTCAGACTTTCAGTCATTGGGACGTTTGCTCACAAGCCGCAGCGGTGTTCATCAGGCACCCCAGTTCCTGTGGAAAGATCTCCTTCAAAGTGTTTTTCTGTGAGCTATACCACTGAAATGCAGTTGACTTGAGCGAGGCAGCACTGCTGGATGCCGTGCAGACACACCACTGCGCACTTCTGAGTTTGAAGGGAAGAATAACTTTTCCTGATAAAAACTTGAGGAGGAATTGAGGCAGCAATCTTTGTGAGAGCAAGGGGAAAAAGAAAGAGCCTTTTTCTCTGGGAGGGTTGCGTGGAGAGGTTTTCGGTGGCCGCGGGAGGTTAGTACAGTTTTCCACCTTATCCAAAAGATGGCACTGTTCACATTGGAGCCGTGCTCAGCTCCAGGCAGGGGCCCCAGGCCTGCACCCTCCGGGGTCTTGTCCTTGGGAACCCTGGAAATGCAGTCCAGCTTAATGCCCAGGGGCTCATTTCACAGCCCCCTGCACTGTGGCAGACGGTTCTTTAGCGGCATTATCCCTACCTGATTGTCATCCAAGCGGAAGAGGGGTTCAGAAACTGACTTGTTTTTGGCAGTGTTCAATTTCTCTGAAATCCAATTGCTAGTATTTTGGAACAGCCAGTTGTGTTTTAAAGTGAGAAGGAATACTGGGAGAAACAGGGAAGGGATGAGGAGATGAGAGGATGAGAAGCTATGAGAAGGAGCAGATGAGAGTGGTGGGGTGGGACGTGTCAGCAGTGGGAGTAGAGAGGGAAGCAAAGAAAAGAAGACAAGAGAAGTCAGCATGCAAGCATAGAGATTCAAGGTCCCAGCAGGAAGGAACAGGATAAAGAAGCTGGGGTGATGCTGGTAAATGCTAAACTGGGCTTGCTTAAATTTATCCCCCTGCCTTGCTCATGTGCTGAACATGCAATTAATTTGTAGTGCTGAAGAGATGAGAGAAATTTCTATCCATAGTCCTTAGATATGAGAGTTAATGGCCCAGGTACAGATACTCATGGAAAATAAAAGAATTCCCTCCTCCCAGGCCCTGCAGTGCCTCTACATTAAGCTCAGTGGTGTGTTAACAGAGCCCTTTCCACAGGAGCATCACACAGACATCAGGTTTTGTGTTGCTGTGGCGTGGCAGTCACTACACAGGCCAGGGGACTTGCTCCACCAGGATCTGAATGTAGCCCCATGCAGGAAGCAAGATAAAGGGTGTGAAGAGGTGCCTGGCCACCATCTGCTCCATGGGTCATTCACATGAAGCAGAGAGGTTTACTTGCATGCGTCTGGCCCTGCAAACAGCCACCACCACATCACTGAGTGAACCAGACCTTTGAACACAGCTCAGCCTGA